TGATCATTTTGCACCAGCCGCTTCTCTTCCCTTGGCCCCAGAGGCCTTTCCATGAAGCTCAGTTCAGCAGAGAAGCCAGCGCCCAAGGGAAATTCACGCTCCTGCTGATAGGCACTTGAAGCATTTCCCAAGCTGTTTCCCGGATTTTGACCTTGGGGATGGCAGTGATAACAGGGACTGGGGCCAGGAGAGTCTCAGGCTTTCACATTTATCCTGATAAATTTGCTGATCGATGCTAAGGTGCAATGGAGTAAAGCTATAGACTGTCCGTGAAGCATTTTAGCATTACTGACCTCCAATTCCACCTTTTCAGACTCAAGGGTGAACAGAATAAAATGCTGTGCTTGTACCTGGTTTTAACACCCAACCTCTATCTGTTTCCATCTAAATATTCCATGTGAGGGTTTATAAGTTAGGAACAGCAACAACAAAAAATTCCTTGATTACAAATAAGCTATTTAAATGGGGGGTGGGGAATCCCACATTTCTGTACTTTTAGGAATGCTTTTCGGGACACATTCCTGCTTAAAAATTTTTTTTTAACTTTTTAAAAAAATTTATTTCTGAGAGAGAGAAAGACAATGTGAGCAGGAGAAGGTCAGAGAGAGAGGGAGACACAGAAACTGAAACAGGCTCCAGGCTCTGAGCTAGCTGTCAGCACAGAGCCTGATGCGGGGCTCGAACCCACAAACCGTGAGATCACGACCTGAGCCAAAGTCGGCCGCCCAACTGACTGAACCACACAGGTGCCCCCACATCCCTGGTTTAAATAAGCTACCTGTGCAGATGGGTTTTACAACCCAACCCCTCTGGACTAAGCTGGAAATACTTAAAGCAAGCATTTCTTTTAATGTGCGGAAATCCTCTTGAGTAAGTTTTCCAAGCATCATCACAGGTAAGTGATGCCGATGGAAGCGAAAGGACTTCAAGATCAGCCTAAGCCCTGATGACACTGACGGTGAGAGCCAATCGATCAATTATATACAGAAAGTTGGGCTTGCTCTTGTTTGTTGATTTATTTTAAAAGTAATCTCTATGCTTAACATGGGGCTTTGAACTCATGATCCCGATATTAAGAGTCACGTGCTCTACCCACTGAGCCAGCCAGGCACCCCCAGAAAGCTGTTTTTTAAACAGAGAGTAGGATTTTTCCAGAGACACCAGCCAGGATTAAACCTTCACCCCCTTGGGCTGGCTTTGCACGACACTTGTTCCAACAGACCTTTCAACTCCTCACACACAGTCTACGACCTTTAAGCACAGTCCCACGGCACATGCTCTGTAGAACAGCCAGAGGCACTTTGGTCTAGGGAATGTCGGATATGGGAGTGAGTGGTGTTCCATTATTACAAACCATGTTGATACTAAAGCAGAATCTAGATAAGCTTTCGTTTTCTCGCTCTACAGGATGGGATGGGAGTAAAACTGATATGAACTAAGAGAAGCCCAACTATTTTGAACAAATAATGTAAAAGTGATTGTACAGTTTGGACCCACTTAATTTTGTGTCTGACTGTAAAACAATCATTATGATGAAAATGGGACTTAAAGGGAGCTGAATGTGTATAGAGAAAAATGTACATAAACATGGTCAGTCCTTAGGGAATCAAACAATAGTCAACCTAATGACAGGTAACCCAATAGACTCTTAAGGTTTTAGATCCATAAAAATATATGTTGTTAGTTTAACGTTTTACACAGTAACCAGCTTTAAGCAGTGGGAAGTACATTCTTGTAAAAACAATCACACCACCTTAGGAACTTGCTATTTAAGTGAAAACTAACACTAAGTCTGAATTAGTCATTTCTTTACTCATATTTGTATAGGTTTTCCCATAAGAGGTTAGTTGTCAATCTAAAAATTTACCTGCTTTAATGTGGTGCTCAGAAGTTAGATATTTTTCCTCCCCAAGGTTAGCTTCGACAGAAATAAAATGGGTTTTCTTTGGTCTCACTAAAATATGAGAAAACCATCTGATCTAAAATAACAATTATTTTCATGCAACATTCATTTGCAGGCAAGTCCTTGGAAAATCAACGTGAATGCCCCAATTCGGGCTGCCCTTCTCTTCGGGAGCCCGGGCAGATTCTACACTGGCTTGGTCTGGGACTCTTTCTCATACACTAGGGAAGACTCTATGGCCTTCTCCATGGGCGGAAAGGACTTTGGTTCAAGATTGTGCAGGCCCACATCCAAGAAATTCAAGTCATCATGGTGGCCTGAATTAATACAGTTCTTTGGGGGCATTTTAAATGATGGTGTTCCTAGACTGAAACCAGAAGCCACCTGTTATTATTTCTTCACTTTGGAGATGAAGTAGAACAGGATCTTCCTCATCCATTTGGTCACCTAAACCTCCCTTACACTGGACTCCTGCATGGAAGTCAGGGGAGAATACTGAGATTAGAAGGCCATGATGTCAAGAATGTGGAAAGCTGAAGAACTGGAGGTACCAGGTGGGGGAATGAAACCTCCCCTCCCCGTCAAAAAGTCCATCTTGAGGATAAAAAACGTTCTGAGGATGGGCAGTGGGGATGGTTGCACGACAGTGTGAATGTCCTTAATGCCATTCAAAGTGTACATTCAAAGATGGTTAAGGGGCACTTGGGAGGCTCAGTCGCTTACACGCCTGACTTCGGCTCAGGTCATGATCTTGTGGCTCTTGAGTTCAAGTCTGTGTTGGGCTCTGGGTTGACAGCTCAGTCCGGAGCTGCTTCGGATTCTGTGTCTCCCTCTCTCTCTGCCCCTTCCCCACTTGCCCCTCCCCCATTTCTCAAAAATGAATAAATGTTTAAAAAAACTTTTTAAGATGATTAAAATGGTAAGTTTTATATTCTGTACATTGTGCCACAGTAAGAAAGTCAGTCTGGTACTACTATTCATACAACACCTCGGTGGACACACGTGGCAAAAATTTAAGAGAAAATTATCCTTAAGTCAGAAAGGTACAAGGACATACGTTTGTAATTTTGCTATAATCTTCTCATCATTAAAACACAGGTTAGAAAGACATTAAATGTTGGCATCATACAGGAAATTCACCTCCAGGTCACTGTTGGCATTTAAAAGTGGTGCTAATTTATACACAGTTTGTTATTCATTATAAAACTGAATTAAAAATAAAACAAAACTAAAAACACCCAATACCTCCTCTCAAAATCTTGATTCAGTGCCTTCCCAAAACGTAGCAACTATCTAAAGGTCTTTGTTTTTTCACTGTCTTTGTACTGAAATGCCCCTTTTTCACAATTTGGTTTGGCCCCACCCTGACCTGACCCCCAACATAAGGTTAAGGATAAACATAATTAGTATGTCACTGAGCCATAGGCTGCCAATCCCTGTGGAAAAGTTCTTCCTTTCAATCCTGGACTGGTGTGGAAATCATTACATGGAGCAAGGCAATCCCAGGTGAGTGGTAATGGACAAATGTGGGGTAGGTGCCCGCCCAGCTCAACCGGAGACAGAGTGAGACCAGACATGCCATGAGCATCAGTCACAGTGACCTTCTACAGGCTGTCGCTGTAGCTGCTCGTGAACACAAAGGATGGAGTCCATTTCCTCTTGGTCACAGTAACGTATCATGGGGATAACTTTCAATGGGGTCAATTATATGACAGGCATACGAAAAACCATAGACACTTCCTAGCAGGAATGTGCTATAAACATCAATTAAGAACTCCTGCTTAAAAAAAAAAGAAGGAGGAGGAAGACTCTTGTTTCGTGTGGCTATCAAGGTGACACGAAGCCCCCTGGTCTGAGCTAACTGCTTTCCAACTCTTCAACCAAAAAACAAAATGACAGCAGGCACAGCGCAGTGGACACCTGGCTTACGTAGTACACACAAGAGATTATCCCCAGCACACAAGAATCCGGGTGTTGTTATCATATACTACAGCATTTAATTTTATTTCTGGCAGCAGTGTGAACATGGGCGAAAACGTTGGCATCAAAAATGTTAAGTCGCTCTTAGAAAGGATTTGTAACTTTGACATAGCATGCCATTAGGCAAGACTTTAAAAGTTATTTGGTATTTATGGACGTTCAAAACAGCCTAGCAAAGTACCTTCAAAATAAAGATTACCAAAATAAACGAGAAAAGTAGTCCCAAAATAAAGATGACCAAAAACTAGCTTCCTTGAGTGTATTAGCTGTCTGTTGCTGCTCTAACACATTACCATAAACCTAGTGGCTTAAACACCACAGATGTGTTATCTTACAGTTCTGTAGGTTGGATCTCGGACACGGGTTCTACTGGGCTAAAATCCAGGCGTGGGGAGGGCCGCGTTCCTTTCCGAGGGTGCTAGGGGGGACTCTGTCCTCTTGTGGTCAGAGACCGTCCACATTCCGTGGGTCAGGGCTCCTTCCTTCATCTTCAAAGCCAGAAATATCACATCTCTCTCTCTCTCTCTCTGTTCTGTATTTCACATTTCCCTCCGACCCTGACCTTCTCCAATTCCCCTCCTCCTCTTTTAAGGACCTTTGGGATTATACTGGGCCCACCTGGAGAACCCAGAACAGCCTCCCAGGTCAGATTAGTACCTTCATTCCACCTGCAACCTTATTCTTCTTTGCCCTCTAACCCAACACATTCCCAGGTCCTGGGGATTTGGACGCAGGCATGGTGATCAGGCGGTGGCAGTATTCTGCCTACCGCACATTAAATACACATTAGCTACACCACAGTTTAACATTTCATAATAGTTCAATAATATCCAGTAGCCTTAATCTACAGAATTCATCTTTTTTTAATCATAAAACATATTCAGCTGGCCAGATGCAATAGTAACAAAAAATTGTAAAGCGATATAAAACAAATTATACAATGTTACAGAGTAGTGATTATTTGTGTGTATGTGCTCATATATGTATATATAAAACTATACAATGTATACACGTGTGAATATGTGTGTGTATACACACATACCCCATACACATAGTTTTACAGTTAATCAAGTGGTTCTAGAAAATCAATATACCATAAAGATTCCTGGAAAAGTAATGCTTATAAAATAAGGCCACGTTTATAATGATCCCAAATCAGTCAAAGACAAGGTTCCTAATGGAAACATCAAGGTTAGAGACAAATTCTTTCCTGGTTAGTCCTTTTCTCCTCTCGGTTTCTTCCGGTTGTTGAACTGCCCAGATTCACCGTCCTGGTGCCTTTAAAGGCGTGTGGCATGTGAAATGACTAGAGGTGGTATGAACAAGGTCAAGCCAGTCACCAGCCACACGTAGGTTGGTCTGGAGGAAATTCCTGGAAAACAAAGGCATGCCGTCCGCGCACCTCTGTGCTCCGGGCCCCTGCAGTTCCAGAGAAGAAAGTCCAAATCCCTTCGATGGTTACACCAGCTTTGATTCTCCAACTGGACTTGGCTTGAAAGTGTGAGCGCCGTGAATGGCAAGGGCCGGTGCCCAGTCCGTGCCAGACTTAAAAGACGGGAATGTGGTAGTGGCGGTCATTCTCTGTCAGCAGGGAGATCTCGGGCCACTCCCTGAGCGGCAGGTCTGGGTAGCACACCTCAAAGTCTCTGGAGTTAAACTTGAACAGTCTGAACACTTTTATCTTTATTTCAAGGGAGTGTCCAAGAATAAACATATCGATCTGGAAAAGAGATGAAAGAGAGGTCAAGAACACACATTTCCAATTTCCTGCCCCACCAGAGAAGGGAGCGTGCTCTCCTGCGGCTTAGGAAGTAACGCCCTTGTTTACAGACCCGCACGTGAACCACCGAGTGACCACCATCAGGGACAAATGTCCACGATGTGTAAGGCAGGGACAAGCAGAGAAACATCTCTGTACACTAGCTTGAAGAAGTTACGGGGAAACGCTTTGGTGGGGGTGGGTGGGAGCTAATAAAAAATAAAGGATGCTCACATTAAAATAACACTGTTTTCCAACTGGTTTTAGATAAAGTTTAATGAAAATGTCAGATAATTTTGCACACCGCCTAAGAGAACAAAGGAAAACAAAACCAAAACTCTTTTCTATGGGGATAAAAAGTCTTATCCGGATTTAAAAGTTTTTAATAATTTTTTTAACTTAAAGTTTATTTATTATTTTTAAATAATCTCTACACCCAATGTGGGGCTTCATCTCACGACCCTGAGATCAAAGTCATCTGCTCTTCTGACCGAGGCAGCCGGGCGCCCCTAAAATTTCCAGTCGTGTCTATCTATCTGCAGGAAGGAGCCGAACGCTTTCCCCAACACTGTCTCATTCTCCGGCTGGATTTTCTCTTGGTTAAAATCAGCTGTGGGAGAACCGGCCACCATCTGAGAAACAGAGTGAAAGCCTAGAAAGGCTTCCAGCAGGGGCACCTGGGCGGCTCAGTCGGTTAAGCATCCGACTTCGGCGCAGGTCATGATCTCACGGTTCGTGGGTTCAAGCCCCGCGTCGGGCTCTGTGCTGACAGCCAGCTCAGAGCCTGGAGCCTGTTTCACATTCTGTGTCTCCCTCTCTCTCTGACCCTCACCTGCTCACACTCTCTCTCTCTCTTTCTCAGAAATAAATAAAAAACATCTAAAAAAAAAAAAAAGGCCTCCAGCACCACTCAGTGGCCCCTGGGTTGGAAGGACACAGCAAACCGCACGGCACAGTGAGGTTTTCGCTCCGCTTTTCCCCCTTGGAGGGGCAGTACCATCAGGCCACGACCTCGCTGCCGCTGGGTTTACCACCACTGAAAGCAAACCTCACACAGCTGGGTGTCTAAGCACTGCCAGTGCGGCCCGGAACTCGAGTCTTCGGCCCCAGTTACCTGCTCCAGTCCACACGTGTCACCCACAGAATTCAGGTGGTTCATCATGAAGCTCAGAGGGTCGGATGATGTTTCCCGGGAAAACAGGAGTCGGAAAAGACTGGGAATGACCTTTTGCGTCTTCATTTGTTCGTAAACCTCGGTGACTTGATATAGCATGATGAACTTTAAAGCTTCATAAAGTTTGTATTCCAGAATAGCATCAGAGAAAAGGATGTTGCACATACTTCCCCTCTTGTGATAATCTTTAATTCCACTAAATTCAGTCCACTGAGAATACAGACGTGGGAGTGAAAGTTACAGGGTAGAGGTGAATACCAACGCCATCGGCATAAAGTACTTATAAAAATAAACCAAAGATCAATAGAGGGGACCGTTAACTTTTCATTTTATATCTTTTGACCCTGATATTTTTAACTACAAGTATATATTACTTTTATAATAACTAGCTTAAATATTTTTTTAAGACAGCGCCACCGATTAGGTAAAATACCAAGCAAGTCAGTTTCCTAAGACGCTTAATGTAACTGGTGGGCCCAGAAGATATTCCAGAGACGAACAGTACTAACTAGTATTCTTTCCCACTCACCATGTGCCAAGCACTGTTTAAAGCCACATGTATTAGCTCAGTCAATCCTCATGATAACTGTACAGGGGACACACTATTCACATAGCAGTTTTACACATCAGAAAACCACAGCGCTGAAATGTTTTGGTATTGATCAGGGAGGATTCATTTTAGCAATCCCAAATCTGCGTCTATTAAAGGCAAGAAAAACTCTTAGTTCAAACGATAGCATCTGTGGCATCCCCAAGTTATTAACAGGGCACATTCCAGAAGAGCATTTCCGAGTGGGCCCTGGGCCACATCTTTCTGGGGGAAACAAAGGCACAGGACCGTTAAGGTTTCCTGGCCAGCCCAGAGGCCTCCTGCACCCGTAACGGGCCTAACTAGCACTTACGCCGTTGCTCTCGTTCATGACTTGGAAAGACAAAGAACAGGAAAGCCCATCGTCAGTTCCCAGGAGAGGCCCCCCTGCCCGCATGTCCTCCTCACTAGGCATCAGGTGACATGTGTGACAGGGAAGAGTCACTACACCCGGGTGTGTGCTTTCATTCCTCGTCTTTTCTCCCTCCACATACTCACCTGCGTTTTCAATAATTCCACACATTTACGTAATTTTCCAAACACGTTGGAACCTGTATACTTCTCAGGACCAAAACTTTACTGCTGGATCCAATTACAACCTTGTGAAAAGAGCAGTTTTTCAGGAAGCTTGAAAAGGAAGGAGATGCCAACTGTGATTAGTACCTCAACGTTTACAACAGAACAGTTTAGAATGTGTCACAGTATGTGGTCTTACCTCACTTAGGAACCTCCATTTAAAAAGACTGTAACAGTAACTAAATAATAACTTACAGATTCTTCCTTTAGATTTATGGATTAAGTGACGTAGATAATATTCTCTTTTTTTGAGAGAGAAAGAGCACAAGCAGGGGAGAGGGGCAGAGACAGAAAGAGAATCTTTTTCTTCTTTAATGTTTACTTACTTATTTAAGAGAGAGAGTGAGAGAGAGAGAGAGCATGCAAGTGAGCATGAGTGGGGGAGGGGGCAGAAGGAGAGAAAGAGAGAATCTTAAGCAGGCTCCATGCTCAGTCTGCCTGAAATGGAGCTCAGTCCTACGAACCATGAGATCATGACCTGCGCCAAAACCAAGAGTCAGACACTCAACCCACTGAGCCACCCAGGTGTCCCACAGAGAGAAAGAGAGAGAGAGAGAGAGAGAGAGAATCTTAAGTGGGTTCCACACCTAGCATGGAGCCCGATGTGGGGCTCAAACTCACAACTGTGAGATCATGACCTGAGTCAAAATTCAAAGGTTGGATGCTCAACCAGTTGAGCCACCCAGGTGCCCCTGGATCATATTCTTCTTCTTCTTTTAAATGTTTATTTATTTTTGAGAGAGAGAGACAGAATACGAGCAGGAGCGGGGCAGAGAGGGATAAAGGGAGACACAAAATCCGAACCAGGCTCCAGGCTCCGAGCTGTCAGCACAGAGCCCAACGTGGGGCTTGAACCCACAAACCATGAGATCATGACCTGAGCCAAAGTTGGACGCTTAACTGACTGAGCCACCCAGGCGCCCCCTGGATCGTATTCTTAATTTACAATTTCAAATTTCATAGCTGATGAAAACCTACATGAAGAGTATGTCTATGAAACAATCTTTCTACATAAAACATTTCCTTAACTGCCTAGGTATATCTGTTTAGAAATAATTTTTACACAAACAATGCTAGAATTCCATAGCACATCAGGGAGCACATGGACTTTAGAATAAAAGTACTTTGGGGTCCAAACCTCACTCTGTCACTCATCAGCTAAGAGACTGCTCACCCAGTGCAGATTATTTACCCTCTTAGCCTCATCCTCCACCGTAAATCAAGGGCAATATACCCATTTTACAGGACTCTGGGTGGGATTAAATAAGATCACAGAATATGTAAGACTCTGATCCAGTGAAGGGATCTAATCCATCTCCCCACCCGGCTGAGCTTGGGGAGCCCCGAGGCTTGTTATTCTCTGTCCCCGGCAGCTGGCCACAGGGCTGGCACACTGTGCACACTTGATGAGTGCTTCCTAGATAAAATTAAAGTAATCAAAACAACTCTCAATTAAGAACTGGGAAGGAAATAGACCGTGTGCAGCTACATATATGCATATACTTTATATACTCTCTATTTCTTTGTGCCTCTGCCCTTAAATGAACATCCTAGGTTAAACATCCTACATTCTGACTTCAGCTCAGGTCACGATCTCACTGTTTGTGAGTTTGAGCCCTGCGTTGGGCTCTGTGCTAACAGCTCAGAACCTGGAGCCTCCTTCAGATTCTGTGTCTCCCTCTCTCTCTGCCCCTCCCCCACTCCTGCTCTGTCTCTGTCTCTCAATAATAAATAAAAATGTTAAAAAGAAAAAAAATGTACTTCCTCAGGGCACCTCAGTGGCTCAGCTGGTTGAGCATCTCTCAATTTCAGCTCAAGTCATGATCCCAGGGTTGTGGGATCGAGCCCTGCATCGGGCTCCATGCGAGTGTGGAGTCTGCTTAAGATTCTTTCTCTCCCTCTCTACCCCTCTCCCCCACTCATGCTCTCTCTCTCTCTCTTTCTAAAAAAAAATAAAAAAGAATTTTAAAAAAGAATGTACTGCCTTATACCGTCAAAATGAAAAAACAACAAGGCACAGACTGGGAGAAAATATTTGCAAATAACATATCTGATAAAGCACTTGTATTCAGAATATATAAAGAAATCTCAAAATTCAATCAATGATAAAATAAAAATGGGCAAAAGATTTGAATAGACACTTCTCTAACAAGATAATAACGGATGGCCAATAAGCACATGGAAAGACGTTCATCCGTCCTTGCTAGCAGAATGCCGAGTAAAAGCACAGTGACACCAGTGCACATCTATCACAATGGCTAAAACACACACACACACACACACACACAGCCCGAAGCCTAACAATTCTGGTTACAATTCGGAACAACTGCAACTCTTACACACTGCTGGTGGAAATGCCAAATGGTAGAGCCACTCTGGAAATCAGTTTGGTAGGTTTTTATGAACTCAGACCTATACCTGCCACGGGAGCCAACAATCTTACTCCCTGGCATTTGCCCAAAAGGAATGAAAACTTTCATTCATACAAAATCTTGTATGGGAATATTTATAACAGCTTTATTTGTGGTCAAAAATAATTTGTCAGGTGTCCTTCAACCGAAGGACAGATAAACAAACTATGTCATGCTCACATCAAAGAACACCACTCAACAGTACAAAGGAATGACCTACAAATTCACAGAATGTGGATGAATTGCGATGCATTTTGCTAAGCGAGAGAAGTCAGATTCAAAAGGCTGCACACTGGATAGTTCCATTTCTATGACATTCTGGAAAAGGCAAAACCGTCGGGTCTCAAGACCTGTCAGTGACGGCCCTGGGCAGGGGTGAAAGAAGGGCTGGGAAGGAACAATGGAGAATCTCTCTCTTTAAAATATATTCATTTTTGAGTGAGAGAGACAGAGCACAAGCAGGGGAGGAGCAGAGAGAGAGGGAGACATGGAATCCGAAGCGGGCTCCAGGCTCCGAGCCATCAGCGCAGAGCCCGACGTGGGGCTCGAACTCACAAGTCTTGAGATCATGAGATCATGGCCTGAGCTGAAGTCGGAGGCTTAACTGACTGAGCCACCCAGGTGCCCCGAGGAACAGTGGAGAATCTCTGGAGCGTTCTAGGTGTTAAAACTTGAACAACTGTATAGAGTAAAAAAGTGAGTTTCAGTAGACCACCTTGCTTATGAAGAATGGATGCCTTTCTTGAGAAAAGATGGTGGCATTAAAAACAAACACAACCGAGTATGACAGTCCTTCTGCCATGGGGGGGGGGGTGCTACCGGGCCTTCGAAGGCTCCTTCCATCTCAGGACGCACAAGCCGCCCACTGAGGACCCAGCCAACCTGCGTTATAGTTCTTGGCAACATGATGTTCCCCCACATTCCAGGGAGCGGACGTACCTTCACAATGTCTTTTTCCTTCATCCACGATGGAAAGGAGAGGCCCTGGCTGAATATCTGAAACAGCACTGACCTCAGCGCATCATAGTTATCTCTCTTTACTTGTCGGACACATTTGATGTGATGCCGCCAAAACAGCTCCTCGTAAGCCTGTCCGCACAAAAGCAAAAAAGTGCGTTTTCAAATCCCCTGGATAAGGGAATAGAGAAAGCGAATTCGCTGTATTGGCAGCGAAGTGTACTCCCAAAGAAAGGGGACAACAGAGACAAGAACAATTATAAGTTATGAATGTGACCACGTCACTTATTTTATTCTGAGAGCAGGGGAGGTGAGCAGGGGAGGGGCAGAGAGAGAGAGGGAGAGAGAGAACCCCAAGCAGGCTCCACACTGCTAGTGCAGAGCCCAATGAGGGGCTCGAATCCACGAACCAGGAGACCATGACCTGAGTTGATATCAAATGTCAGAGGCTTAACCGACTGAGCCACCCAGGTGCCCTATGATGACACGTCATTTTAAAGGGACATTTGTGGGTATTGAGTCTGTGTCATGCTCCTTCAACTGGTAACTTCCTGGAAGCCCGGGAGCCAGGGAATGCCATTTAGGGGTGATGACGGCTACAACGTGACCACACTGAAAAAAAAAACTATATACTTTAAAGACACGCTCTAAAGGACTTGAAACGAAAATTTCCTGCTGTGACAAGGTTGGATAGCACCACTGGGAACAGTTAGCAAGCTCGGTCCTGTGGAAAATTCTTAAACTCAGAATATTTTACAACTAGGTGCCTAATCCCTGCAGAGACAGACGTCTCCCCTGCTTGTCGAGAGAGCCCGTAGGCTTGGTGGGCAAAGCTGAAAAGAGTGCCACCCTCGAGTTTCCTGAAGTGACAGCCTACTGTATGTCATCGTCCACACCCGCATGGCCCTCGCTCCAGGTAAAAGCCCAAAGCCATTGTCTGGCAGCTGCGTGGCTCTATCATGAAAAGCCACGATTGTTCTTTGTGGCATATCTGGTGTCAGTAGATCTTTGGGTTTAGTAAAGCAGGGTGGAATGTTCATGTCCTGATTTTTACACACAAATTCTCCATCGTCCGTGACCTTGACAAACAGACACACCTTCCGCATCAGCTTCGCACGCGGTGTCTCTCCCTTCCACTCTCTTGCACAGTAACTGAGGAGATCGACCTCCGCCTCCACGCTGAGGTTCCCTGGACCAAATCGGACATGAGAGGTAGTTAATTTTCCCTTCTCCTTGCCCTTCTTGAACCCTCTCTGCATCTTACAAATAAGACGTGAAAATATTTACTTTTGAATTTTCTCTCCAGATATCCGATCCACCTAAAAGATAAAGGGAAAATAATATCAAAAATCTACTTTGGATGGCAAGGGTCTATTGGCGAATCAGGAGGGCAGTACAACCACCTACCATTTCAGCCAGTGCCCTAAATAGGAGTGCACCCGCCTCACGTAGCAGAGGGCGGCCACCAGGAATGACGCTGCCAGTGTCACTGAGCCCTTGGCTATCTTCCACGCAGTATCCAACGCGTGGCTGGTGACCAGTGTCCAGGCGTGAACCTGGTCACTTCCTACAAAAATTTAATAATAAAAAAAGACGCATCATAATTATATAAATCTGCTTTGTTTAAGGGGGGAGGGAGATAAATGTTGCTAATTGTATCTGCCAAGTGTCTGTCATTGATTACAGAAACAGCTTTTAAAGCATTCAAAAGTTCGGTCTAAAAGTTAAAGAAACACCCGTTTCTCCTATAATCAATGTCATATGTTAAGAATGTCTTTGTTCCGCACAATTCGTGAGGAATAATCATAGAGTATAGGTTCCAGAATCCCTCAGACCTGTTCAAAACCTGTGTCTTGATGACTCTGGCCGTGTGACTGTGGGAAACCTCACTTCTCTACTCCTAATGGCCTTGACTGTAATATTGGGGGAAAGTACTGATCTCCCTGGAGAAAGATGGAATGAAATTAAGAGCGCACGCTGTGCTGCGTATCTGCTAAATCCAAGAATGGTTCCAGGAGGGATTCTGTTCAACACCAGGGTCCTCAAGTGATACCATCACCATGTACATCTGCCCACCTGGGTTTTTGTTCTTTTTTAAGTAGAGAGAGAGAGCACAACTGGAGGCAGGGGGAAATGGGGGCGGGGGGGGGGGAGAGAATCTCAAGCAGGCTCTATGCTCAGTGTGGGCCCCAGTGAGGGACTCAATCCCACATGACCTGAGCTGAAATCAAGAGTTGGACACTCAATTGACTGAGTGACCCAGGTGCCTCCCACGCCCTTTTTAGAAATTTTAAAGCCACTTATTCTTTTTTTTTTTTAAAACATTTTTTTAACGTTTATTTATTTTTTGAGAGAGAGAGACAGAGCTCAGGTAGGAGAGGGGCAGAGAGAGAGGAAGACACAGAATCTGAAGCAGGCTCCAGGCTCCAAGCTAGCATCAGCACAGAGCCCAACGTTGGGCTCAAACCCACGAACCGTGAGATCATGAACTGAGCCAAAGTTGGATGCCCAACCGACTGAGCCACCCAGGCGCCCCTAAAGTCACTTGGATATTCTTCAATTATTAGGATCCATGACAGATGGCATCCCCTCAACACATACAATGAGTGGTCCAAACCTCAGGCACATGACATCATTTCCAAGAAGTGGAGCTCTGAGCAGACCTGTGAGGTAGAGACGGAGGTGCTGCATATGGTCCATGCTGCAGTTCCTGACTTGACCAGAGAGAATGAATGGGCCTCGAGAGCTCCAACTGCATACTTGCAATATCTTACTATGTGCAGCACATTCCCAATTATATGATGCTTGAGCATGTAAAATGCCGAAGTACAAATGAGGAAGAGAACTTTTGAATAGTGGCCAAACCTCCTGGGGATCGTTGTGAAATCGTTCTCTCCCTGGCACAAGGTTTAGTAAAATTCCAGTAATTAATGGTAGCAAAAGTCTCAGCAATTCAGAATCTACAATTTTAGCTTTTTAAAAAAAAAAAAGTAGTCTCCACACCCAGTGTGGGGCTTGAACTCATGACCCCAAGTACAAGGGTCACATGCTCCACCAAGTGAGCCAGCGAGGTGCCCAACTTTTAGCATTTTTGACCACACAGATACTTGATATACATTTAAACTCTCACAAGTAAAGAATTTACTGGCAAACAAAGAAATAAAATTACCAGTAAATAAAAATAGACATATTTGCAATTACTTAAAAGGACATTTTTTTATGTTGGTTGCTATTTTTTAAAAATATAATTTATTGTCAAACTGGCTAACATACAGTGTGTACAGTGTGCTCTCGGTTTGGGGGGTAGATTCCCATGATTCATCGCTTCCATACAACACCCAGTGCTCATCCCAACAAGTGCTCTCCTCCATGCCATCACCCATTTCCCCCTCCCCCCATCACCCCACCAACCCTCAGTATGTTCTCTGTATTTAAGAGTCTCTTATGGTTTGCCTCCCTTCCTCTGTTTGTAACTATTTTGCCTCTCCCCTTCCCCCACAGTCTTCTGTTAAGTTTCTCAAGTTCCACATGAGTGAAAACATACACACCTGTCTTTCTCTGACTGACTTACTTCACTTAGCCTAACACCCTCCAGTTGCATCCACGTTGCTGTAAATGGCATGATTTCATTCTTTCTCCTTGCCAAGTAGTATTCCACTGCATATATAAACCACATCTTCTTTATACATTCATCAGTTGGTGGCCATTTAGGCTCTTTCCATAGTTTGGCTATTGTTGAAAGCAGCCCTATAAACATGTGCCCCTGTGATCAGCACTCCTGTATCCTTTGGATAAATTCCTAGCAGTGCTATTCCTGGGTCATTGGGTAGTCCTGTTTGTAATTTTTTGAGGAACCTCCACACTGTTTTCCAGAGGGGCTGCACCAGTTTGCATTCCCACAAATAGTGCAAGGGAGTTCCCGTTCCTCCGCATCCTCGCCAGAATCTGTAGTTTCCTGAGTTGTTCATTTTAGCCACTCTGACTGGTGTGAGGGGTATCTCAGTGTGGTTTTGATTTGTATTTCCCTGATGAGGAGGGACGTTGAGCATCTTTCATGTGTCTGTTGGCCATCTGGTAGTCTTCTTTGGAAAAGTGTCTATTCATGTCTTCTGCCCACTTCTTCACTGATTTGTTTGTTTTTTGGGGTGTTGAGTTTAGTAAGCTCTTTATAGATTTTGGATACTAACCCTTTAACCGATATGTCATTTGCAAATATCTTTTCCCATTCCATCAGTTGCCTTTTAGTTTTGTTGATTGTTTCCTTTGCAGTGCAGAAGCTCTGTATCTTGATGAGGTCCCAATAGTTCATTATTGCTTTTAATTCCATTGCCTTTGGAGACGTGTTGAGCAAGAAATTGCTGCGGCTGAGCTCAAAGTGGTTGTTGCCTGTTTTCTCCTTTACAGTTTTAATGGTTTCCTGTCTCACGTTCAGGTCTTTCATCCATTTTGAGTTTATTTTTGCATATGGTGTAAAAAAGTGGTCTAGTTTCATTCTTCTGCATGTTGCTGTCCGGTTCTCCCAGCACCATCTGTTAAAGAGGCTGTCTTTTTTCCATTGGATACTCTTTCCTGCTTTGTCAAAGATTAGTTGGCCATACATTTGTGGGTCTAATTCTGAGTTCTCTGTTCTATTCCATTGGTCTATGTGGCTGTTTTTGTGCCAATACCATACTGTCTTGGTGATTACAGCTTTGTAGTAGAGGCTAATGTCTGGGATGGTGGTGCCTCCCACTTTGGTGTTCTTTCTCAACATTACTTTGGTTATTGGGGGTCTTTTGTGGTTCCATACAAATTTTAGGATTGTTTGTTCTAGCCAGTGCAATTTTGATTGGGATTGCATTGAATGTGTAGATTGCTTTGGGCAGTACAGACATTTTAACAATATTTATTCTTCTAATCCATGAGCATGGAATATTTTCGCATTTCTTTGTGTCTTCTTCAATTTGCTTTGTTAGTTTTCTATAGTTTTCAGCATACAGCTCTTTTACATCTTTGGTTAGGTTTATTCCTAGGTATTTTATGGTTCTTGGTGCAATTGTAAATGGGATCGATTTCTTGATTTCTCTTTCTGTCACTTCATTATTGGTGTATAGAAGTGCAACCAATTTCTGTACATTGATTTTGTATCCTGAGACTTTGCTGAATTCCTGTATCAGTTCTAGGAGCTTTTTGGTGGAGTCTTTTGGGTTTTCTAGGTAGAGTATCATGTCAGCTGCAAAACGTAAAAGTCTGACTACCTCTTTGACAATTTTTATGCCTTTTATTTCATTTTCTTGTCTGACGCTGATGTTAGGACTTCCAGTACTATGTTAAACAGTGGTCAGAGTGGACATCTCTGTCGTGTTCCTGATCTCAGGGGGAAAGCTCTCAGTTTAAAAGGACATTTTCAAAAACACGTACTCATCTGTTTAGAATAATTCATTAGCTCTTCACTATACACTTACTCCTGCCTAGATATTTAGTAAAACTTTGTGTAAGTTGTTTAAAAATGTAAAGCTATGCTGCCTTTACATCTACAATTTAGATTTTTATTAATTCACAGTGATTTCCCAACTGTGAAAAATTCTGACATATGTAAATACTTTTAGTAACTCCTTAAATTCAGGAAGAATTAGAACTTTGTCTATGCAACACATAATTTTTAAATGTATTTATAAACTTTTCCTAGAAAAATGGAATATTACACATGGATTTACAGTTTGTTTTTTCTCTTCATACACATTAGACATCTTTTTATTTAACTACATATAGATCTACATTATTCTTTTTAAAGAATGCATAATATTTTAGTAGACATGTAACCCATCATATGGGGTCCCTGACTGGCTTTGCTGGTTACGTAGCCGACTCTTGATTTTGGTTCAGGTCATGATTTCATGGTTCGTGGGACTGAGCCCTGCATTGGGCTCTGTGCCAATAGCATGGAGCCTGCTTGGGATTTTCTCTCTCCCTCTTTCTATCTCTCTCTACCCCTCCCCAACTCTCTTTCTCAAAAAAAAATTTAAAAATGAAAGAGCATCATATATGTAACATAATACACTGCCTTACCAACAAACCATCTGGATTATTTCCCGTTTTTCACTCTTACAAACACTGCTGAGAACGACATTATCCCCCAGTAGTCCTTGTGGGCTCCCAGTAGCTTTTAGGATAATTTTAAGAAGGGAAACCCTGGATCAAGGAAGGATGTGTACATTTTTAGTTTTGACAGATATTGCCAAAGCACCTTCCAAAACAAACCGCCTACCGCACCCCCTTCACGTGTACGAGTGTCCCTATGTCCTTGAGCCCCAGTTCTGGTCGATTTCTCACAGCCGTGTGCATTTCCGTAGGAACAATTCACATTTCTTCTTCCAGGAAGAGCCTTTTAGAGCATCTGCCTATTTCCCACTGGGTGGTGCTTGTGTTTGTGTGGACTTGGCGGGCCTGCCGTCACTGAGGTGGGGTCTGGCAGCCGCGCCCTCCGTGGGGCACACTGCTGTCATCTGTCACAGACTAACCACCACATTACAGTTGTGGAGTTACTGGCACGCCTTCTGGGAACTTGATTTGAGTCCCTAAGCCAGG